CAGGCAGGGCTGGAAACTCAGTTTCTTCACTGGGCTAATCCTTCCCTATCAGTAAACTTGGGGCAGGCTAGTATGCTGAGACTTACTGCTTTCCCACTTGATGGCTAATTACCTGTGAGTAATTATATTTCTTTACCTACAGATGTTTTTGGAAGATTAATATATTAAGAAACGTAAGCAGCTTGGTTAATTATGTGTTCTTACTAGGATAGATGGCAATTCCATACCTGTGAGTACTGCAAAGCAGTGAGGCAATGCTGTGGTTAGCCATTCACCTGCACGTTGTCTGCGAGGCTTCAGAAACTTAGCTGCTGAAGAGGCTGAGAGTATGGTCTGACTTCAGTATTGGAAATGGCATGAGAGCTCATAAATCATTCTGATGCATCGGAGTTATAAATCATGCTGATGTTAAAAATAACTGTTCCTGGAGGAACGTGTGAGAAACAAAATGATTGCACTGGTCTAATGCTAAGGCCTCTAAATTGTTGAGCCAGAATTTAAGGTTAATCTGAAAAAAAAATACAGAAAAAAAATAAATAAGAAAAATTATTGCTATTTTGATTATGTCGCCTTCCTGGCCCCCGAAAAGAGATGCTTTTTAAGTAGAAAAGATGGCTGGCATGCTCCCCGTGAAAACCCTTGGTTTTGCTGGGCCTTTTTATTTTCGACTGCAGAGGCTCGTGGTATTCTTTGCCGTACAATACATTCAGTGGAGAACAAGTCAGCAAGTTTTCACTGAAGCCTGCTCTTAATGAATGTTCATTGCATTTCTTACCACCTTCTAGCCTTCACCTGCACATAATATCAATAGTATTGCACTGCTTGGTAGGGTGAGATTGCGTGTTGCTCAGAAAAGATTGGCAAAGGATATCTGATAACCTGCCTATGGGATGGTCTCACCTTAGGAAGCAATTCTAATTCCATAAAAGCAACTTCTGCAGCTGATCTGCCAACTTACTTGCACCTGAGCACATCACCCAAAAGCATTTTCTTCATCCCTTCCCTACCTGCCATTTAACCTTAGCCTATATCTCCTTTACTTCAGCTAGAAAACATGGCCACTCTTAATTTAGAAGTATGGAATAACTTTTTTTACTTGTATAGTGAAATTTGCTTCACTATACATATCTAACTCTTGCTTGGAAAAATGGATTTCATTAAGCTTTTAAGTTTCTCAGCACAATACTTTGTGTCACATGTTGATTCTTTTTCTCACAAACATCTTGATGGATCTGTTAGCCATTTTTTTGCAGGAATTTTCTCATATGTGTGGAACTAAGCAAAATGAAATCTGTGACCTTCAAATTTGTGCAGCTAGCTAAGTTTACATGAGCGTGTAATGTCTTTGATTTTTGGGACCATTTTCCTCACGGAGGCTAATACAACAGCATATGGAACTCTTTGCTGCTTGCACAACTTATCTGCTTCAATGTCTTTTAGCTTTAGCTGACCCACAAGGTTATGAAAGTTGCATAGGGTGAGTACTAAAAATTCTTGTTATAAGTGAAACCAATCATTCAATAGGCAACGCTTAGTCTTATGTAAAATATACTGAAGTCAGAGGGAGTTAAAGAAAACATTTTCCTTGGCTGCAAGTAGCTTGGAATCAGGATGCATGCAGGGTACTGAAAACCAAAGAAGAGCTGAAAATTAAGAAGCCATTTTACTGGTTTCTTCTTTTGAAAGGCCTGTTTGGTTCAAAAAAGGAGGAGGAAAAAACTAACTTTCTTTTTTCCTCTGCTGTACTAAAAATGGCATATTGTGTTTGGCCATGGAATAAATAGTACTCAAATGTGAAAAGAATTGAATCAGAGCTTGAATGAGATCCATGTAAATTTTAGGACATAGTTTCTTCAGTGGCAAAAGGAAAAATGTTTACTTTGAAAACGTCATAGGAAAATATAAATGTGCTCCAGTGATTAAAAAACTTGAGGAGAGTTCAGACTGCTGAGGTAACAAGACAAAACGTAAATTGTTTTATTATCACTTATTGGAAATGGCAACAGCCAAAAAGATCATTAACAGCTCAGCACCAGAAAGCACTGAGGGTTTAAAATAGAAACATATCTGTGCCTTGACTTGAGACTTATTCACCCTTAAGCTATTTAAGACTGCAAAATATTTGTAATATGGTATCTTAGAAACACAGTGACATCGAAATCCAGAAGATTCAGACTTGTACTGTCAACACAACAGAGTGCGTGTGATTTCCTCCTCAGATGTACCAACTGAAATTCTGCTTTTTCCACAAACTTTGGTTAGTAAAATGCAAACACTCTATTTTAGCAGCAGTTCTACATAGCCACTTCCAGCTATAATCTTTCCTACTATTCTCTTTATCTGCAGCTTCTTGTCAAGACCCCTGCTCTTTGATAGAGATTTTCCTGTTTGATACACTGATTTGTTTTGTTTTAATCAAAAGACTTTTGTACTTAGAACTTTTTGGCAGAAGTATGTCAAGCACAGGTTTGCATGCAAATCATAGGAAGTCATTCACAAGATGAATAGCTATCCCCTATGGCAGCTGCAAGTCACATCCAGCTGCTTTCAGTTATTCCTTGGTCACCTCCAGTTCCCTGCTTCTCCTTCTTCCCCCCCCCCACCTCTTTCATTAAATCTGTATTAGCATAACTCTTCCCCAAATTTGCCATCAGCATAATCAGTATTTGTTACTACTTGCATCACAAATAGAAAAAAAAAAACACAAAACAAACACCAACCAACCTGTCAGGAATAGGAACAGAAATCTTTGGCAAATCTTTATGGAAGATATCTTCTATTTCACAAACTCAGCTCAACAGTTATGTTTTGAAGAACCAGCGAAACCAAATCAGTTACCAAGCAGGCAGTGATATACCTGCTCCTACAAAAGTTACTTAGAACGATGAGAAGTATTATTTGACACAGGTTGTTGCTTAATTCAAAGATGCATCTTTTGAAGAAAAATAAGGTCTCACCTTTGTTTGGACAACAAACAAATCCAAGCACAACACAAACCAACTGCAGTGCTTGACAATGTGGTACGTAGTCCCTAAAAGCTTACAGCTTTTAGGAATTGGTTTTCACAGCCATTATCTCTGAATAGAATTCTTACCTACCAAATAAATTCAATTACAGTTAGAAGCATTAATATTTTCTGATAAAAAGGAAGAACTGGAATGAAGAATCATTCTTTTCCTTCTCACAGAAAAGTTAGAAAGGAGACTGGAAAAGGCAAGTGAGGTTCTATACCCGACTCTACTTGCACAAATCCTACTGTCCAATTAAAATGGCCTATAGTGCAACTCCAGGCCTGCACTCGGGACACAGCCCAAGGAATCACTGAGTTTAATTCCTTCAGTTTACCATTTATATTTTCTTCTAATAACAAATACATTTTTCAATTTAAATGAACAAACCAAGTAGTTGTTATGAGCTCATTTCAAAAGTCTTGGTGAAAACTCTTACAGTTTACATTCTGCTAAATGCCCAAGACTGACATCAAAAGAAAATTAAAGCTCCCAGGCTAAGATTTGTCACTGTGCATGCACCATCCATGCCTATGCTGGAAGCCAAATCTCTCTTTGTGTTTATGGAGACAGAAACACCTAAGGCAGGATGCATTAGAATTCCAAGTGGGGTTTGATGGCACTCTGACCCAAAGAACTACAGCAACCACAACACAAGACTTGCCCTCTCAGTTGTCAAGAAGATGGCTATAAACAGAGAAGTCAATACCTGCAGAAAAACCACCTGCTTCTGGTCTCTGCAGTCTGAGTACGTAAGGAGCACTGCAGAGTGTCAACGATCCATTTTTTATGCAAACAAACACAAGTTACCATATTTCTCCAACCTAGCAGTACTTGTAGTTGCACTCAGAGCACAAGGAGGACTGGGAAGTGAGCCCACCCCACAGAAGCAGCTCTGGCACGTTTAAGTTTATTTCAAATAAATGCTCAAAGAAAAGGGAAAAAAAAAAAAAAAAAAAAAAGAAATAAAACAGATTTAGTATATATTTACTTTTCTTAAAAAAAGGATTCCATGAAAGTTTTATAGTTATCTAAGTAGTAATACAGTTTTTATATACAAAATTCCATTTCAAACAATTTACTGTACAAAAGAAAATATAAGCCACTGTTACCATTTCGATTTCAGCAAATAATGCAAATTTTTGATAAGTATGTGTTCAGGATATAGTTCTACCATTTACAGGAATGTCAGTATTAAGCTGGGAACTGTCAGATCAGTATGTACAGATGAAATTCCCTTAGAGGAAGTTCCATTAAATGTCCCTTCAGAATAGGTAGTTCACATTTAGCTTTCTTCAAGATCTTTCGGGCTACCACGGAATGAGAGAAAGCACACTTGTATAGGATTCACAGACAAAATTCTGCTTAATCTATTTGCACTTATTGCAGTCCACAGGCCTGACCTTGTAAATACTTACTGCCAGGCTTAATGCTTATAGTGTGAATAAATCAGGCAGGATTTGGCCCTATTGAATTAAGCTATCATAAATTACAAATTTAAAAAATAGTGACATTCCTGCAAGTCAAAATACAACAGAAACAAGAGTTAACAAAATATAAGCCCTTTATTAATAAAAATCTTTGGTTGGATCAATATTTTAAATAAGCTTCAAGAATATTTGGTTAATACCATTTTCTTTCTTCCACATAATATCTTTTCTGGTGCCTTTTTTCGGACAGACTACAGAAAAATATCAAGTTTATCACATACTTTAAAACAAATAAATATATCAAAAGCTAGATATGGCTTTTTTTTTTTTTTTTTT